TCTGTCCTTTTCCTTACCCCACCCCTCACCTCAATATCCAGTCACTTTTTAGGTCTCTTATATTCTTGCAGAGCTTCTTGAGGGCAGGCACTGTCTCACTAGCCCATAAATAGATACTTAATAAATGCCTCTTGACCTGCATATCAAATTTGAAAAGTCCTTTCACTCTGCAACCACTCTAGGTCAGGCCCTTCATCTTGTCTGGGCTGGATTAGTTTAATAGCTTCCTAATTAGTCCCCTCTCCTGTCTCTCTCCTCTCTACCTGAGAAACAGCATGCTATCATATAGTGTACTAGACTTGGAGTCAGAAAGATCCTGGGTTCAACATCCTGTTACAGGCATCTGATTGCTGTGGGACCCTAGGCAAGTCACTTAACTTTTCTGTCCTACAGCTTCCTCATCTGTAATACGAAGAGGTGGGAGGCAGTGGCCTGTAAGGTAGGACCCTTCTAGCTCTAAAATTGTGATCTTGTAATTCCAATCCATCTTCCACACAGCTACTAAATGGATATTCCTTTAACATAGCCCAGCCACATTATTGCACTGTTCGAGGAGCTCCAGTGCGATAGAATATGCCCCATCCTACCCTTCCAGAATGGAATGATTACACTTTACCTTCCTTCGTACCCTCCGTGTTTCAGCCCAGTTGGTCTACTTGCTATTCCCGATCCACAGCATTCCATCTCCCTTCTCTGTGGTTCTGCTCGAAGCTGTCCCCTGGAATGTATTCCCTCCTCACCTGGGCCTACAGAAAGCCTATTCTCCACTGCTGGTGCTTCTTCCCAACTCCCACCTCCCCACTGGAATTACTTTGATTTACTGTGTAGATATTTTGCATTTAGTTACCTGTGTTTACATCCTACCTCTTGCGCTGCACCACCACCAGTAGAATGTAATCTCTGGGATTAGAGACTGTTTTTGTCTCTAGCCTCCCCTCCAGCACAGTGCTTAGCGCTAGCGCTTAGCAGAAATTTATGAAATATTTGTGAAATGTATGAAACTACTATATACATGTATTTTTTAAAAGCCCACATAGAAACTAGCATATTTGAGAAGTAGTGGAGTAGAGTGAAAAAAATCCATTCTGCGGGGAATCTGGCTGGAGACTTGAATACTAGCCCTGGCCCCACTACTCTGATCTGGTTCAAGTCAGCCTCCTTGGGCCCCAGGTTCCTTGTCTCTCAAATTATGGAGATAAACTAATTGGAAATTCCAGCTCAAAAATAGTATAACTCTCTAATTGTGGACATAGACATAACCTCTGAAAAAATTAACTGCACACTACTCATTTTGTTTTTTTTTCCCCTCCATTTGGAATTTAATACCATATTCGTCTTGATTTAGTAAAAGTGTCTGTTGACCTAAAAGCCTCAGAACATAGCATTTATAAAGTTTTCATTTAGTATGGTTCTTTCTAAGGAATGAGTGACACTGAAATTTCATCTCTTAATCTACCCTTAAATGCAATTGCTGTCCTGACTTTACTTGTCTCATTTCTTGGCATGTTACTGGTCAAATTGTTCATTTTACTATGATCAGATAATGCTGTCTCAATTCTAGGGCAACTGTATTAGCATGCGTTATATAATCCTGCAAATATTTTGATGTTGCTTTGCAGCAATTATTTTCATATTAAAATATTTTCCTTACCCACAGATACCAGATAATATCAAAGATATAGCCTCCACCTTCACACAATTTTCTCTACCTCTTGCTAACCTGTAAAAATATCCTTTTATTTCTTTAGGTATTTTTTTTTTTGTCTAACAATGTCAGTGAGATTTCTCACATTTCAAGAAGCAATATGGTATATAAAGAGTACTGAACTGAGAGAAGACTGGACTCAAGTACCAGTTATGCTATGTACTGGCTAACTGCATGAGCCTGGTCAAGTAATTTCCCTTTGTATGGATTGTTCTTATGCACTTTATTCATATTCTTACCTTCCATACCTATTTACTTATCTGTAAAGAGGCAGGAATACGTGGCCTTTTAAGAACCTTCTAGCTCTAAATCCTAGTTTTTAATAGATATTGAATATTTCCTTTTCCCTTTGTCTTCATCCTTTTAAAACTTCTGGGTAGATTTTGACCAAGGGAATGGAAGTTTTGTGCATGATAGATACCAGGGATTAGGAAGCAGTGAAAATAATGGTGGATTTGGACTCAGAGGATATGGGATCAAGTCCCTGCTCGCCCCTTGTGTGTGTGTGTGTGTGTGTGTGTGTGTGTGTGTGTGTGTGTGAGAGAGAGAGAGAGAGAGAGAGAGAGAGAATTGGGGCAAGTTGATTAACCTCTCCAGTTCTCAGTTTCCTAAAATTGGAGGGGTTGGACTCATGGACCTCTGAAGTTCATTTTAGCTCTAAATCTATGATCCTATGAGGTGGATATAGGAGAAGCAAGTGTAGCTTGATTAGAACAAAAAAGCAGGCCAGAGAGTTTCACAGAGTTGCTATAGAGCAATTTGGGGGCAAGTCGACAAAGGGTCTTGAGTCAACAACACTAAAGACGTTTCATGTGGACTAAAATTTAGATTACTCAGAATCCCCCTTGGTTGGGCATAGAGGGATCCAATGCATACTGGCACTCGATACCTGCTATTCAATAAATTCAGTAGTTTAAAGGATCTACGATCCATGTGCAAAGTTCTGTGCTAGGTATAGCTTAAGTAAAGCTCTGATGTTACTGCTGTGGGTACCTCTTCCAACAATGCAAATTGCAACCCATCCTTACCTTTTCATCCTATGACATTGTTGTTTGTATAAATCCTCCAGGTGGAGTTCACTGAATGTACTGGTGGCCTTTCTTTAGAGCTCTTGACATTGAATAGATGTAGATATCAATGGAGCATGTGGGTTGTTCATAGGTCAACCCTCTAGTACATGATGAGACCATCTTCTTTTCTGGTCTTACTGCTCTCTGATGACATCCTTTAAGCTGTTTTTCCTGCCCAGTTCTTCATTGCTAATATTCTACACCCCTCTATAATACCCTTGGGTGATCTGCAAATTTAATGCTTTAGAGACTTAAGTATTCCATATCTTGCAAGATATAAGAACACTGGGGCAGCTAGGTGGCGCAGTGGATAGAGCACTGGCCCTGAGGTCAGGAGGACCTGAGTTCAAATGCGGCCTCAGACCAACACTTGACACTTACTGGCTGTGTGACCCTGGGCAAGTCACTTAATCCCAATTGCCTTAAAAAAAATAATAAAAAAAGACATAAAAATACTGATGTTAAAAAAAAAGATGGGTCTTTGTTTTTTTGGGGAAGAACTTGGAGTCTCAAAAATGCGGTGCAATTTCCCAGAAGCAATCCATTCCACCTCACTTCTTTTCAATTCTGGACCCAAATACAAAGATAAAATCAGGTATAATTTTTGTTCTTCAGAAGATGACAATCTAACAGGAGATGTAATTTATAAACACAACTAACTCCAAGAGAATCAGAATATGATAATTGCTTTGGAAAGAACCAAAGTGCTAGAAGGGTTGGGTTTTTTTTGGGGGGGGATCACTTCTCTTTTGGGTGGATAAGGGAAGATTTCCTAGAGGAAGTAGCCTATAAGCTGGGCATTGATGGAAGAGAATGATTTCAAGAGGTAGGAAAGGTGTATGTATGTCAGGTGGGGTGGTGGGGTATCCCTATTTCATGCATAGGGGAGATGTTGTTAACAGAGACATAGAAGTAGAGGAGGTACATGAAGGGGGCCAAGGGATAGGGTGCTATAAGGCTGGAAAGTTAGGTTGTGCAGCTTTCATCTGAATAATGAAAGGTGACTATCTAAGTATCTCAGCCCTACCTTTTGAGGTTGACAGTCTTCAGGCATGTAGGACTTGTTTAAGCATTTGCATCAGCTATATTATTAACAAAAGGCGTAAGCCCTGTCTATGTCATTTGGTGGCTTAAATCTGATGTGAACCTACAACTTGAGCTGCTTAGTAATTTTTAGGTAATGTGAATCAATGAATGGCCCTAATGGAAAATGATAGTCTCTGCTTTTCTTTATAGCAAAAATCCCCAACTTTTTTGGTCCCCTAAGCCATTGAGTTTTCAGTAAACCTTCTTGTAACTCCTATTCAATATGAAAGGAAACAAATTCTAGAGTTTATAATACAAATGCACAAAATAAACCAGATGGATTAATTAATTTTCTTCTCCATCAGCTCACTAAGATCAATTTGAACTTTCTCTAATATTTTAATAGGATAATAAATTATTGTCAAATATTGATGGCACTATCTTGCCAAGTTTTCTCACACCCCAATTTGAGAAGCCCTGCTCTAGAGGGTCCTTACGCAATTTTTCAGAGAGGAACATCTTGTTACAGTAAAAACCAAGGGACATGCTCAAGATATATTGAGGCTTCTTACAGTACAGGGATATAAACCATGTACTTTTTCAGGATAACATGTCCTTCCTTCAGCAGCAGGATGAGCCCTATGGTAGCACAGAGCCTGGGGACCCATCGATCCAGATTGATCTGAAGGTGGCGGGGAGAGAAATGGGATCATGCAATCATAGACTTAAGAGTTGGAAGGTTCTCACTCTGACATTGTGGTCAACCTATTCCTTTTATAGGTGAGGAAAACAAGGCAAAGAAAGGTTAAATGACTTACCCAAGGTGAGATAAGTTGTAAGTGGTAGAGTTTGAATTTCCACCCAGGGCCTCTGACTCCAGATCCAATGCCCTTTCCACAGCACCATGTTGCCTTCTTAGTCTTGGATCTCAGCGGCAGCCAAGATAGAAAGTGCTTAGTTCTTGCTCTCATCCCACAGTGTCAGGAGAGAGAAAGAAAGGATGTTGCTTAAAGTACAGGCACACCCTCCACCCACGCAAATCCTAGTAGAGTAGTTCAGAACACCAATCATGATAAAGACATGTCTCAAGAAAAATGGGAGGACATCTGTGGGTGTTGTTTTTCTTTCATTGGCTGGTAGCTTTCGAGCTAGGAGGGACCTTAGATGTCAACTTGTCCTATCCCATCATTTTACAGAGAAGGAAACCGAGGTACAGGTTGGTGAAGGACTTGGCCATGGTCATACGGTAAGAGGAGCAAAGCTAGTCATTTCTAGAACTCCTTACTGTACCACCATGCTACTCTTTCCTCTTGTTCACTGGGGTGACGTTCTTTCTGTCATAGTTTTCTATGTGTTCTTCTCTTCTTTCTGCTCCTCCCTTTTTTTTGCCTGTTTGCCCTGCCCCTGGCTTTCCTCATAAGCAGCAGCAAACAAGGAAGCTGCTACACTAATATACCCAAAGTAGTGCAAGTCTGTTAGAGAATAAACAAAGCACCAGGGTATTCTGGGATTCAGTCACCCTCTTTTCTTTCTGGGGCATTTTTTTTGGTAAGCCGTTGCTCTTGCTACTGTCTAGTACAGTTCCTGAATACAACTCAGTTTTCTCCCTTCTGCTTGTTTATTCTTCCATTCCCAAAATCACTGGGCAGCTGTCCCCTATCTAGAAGCTTTTGCCTTTCTAGCTCTGTCTTGCCTTGCCTTGTATTACCTGATATCCAGAAGTTCATGGTACCTTAAAGATAATAATAATGATGGTAGCATACATTTATATAGTTTTTTAAGGTTTGCAAAGCTTTACAAATAATAATTTATCTGATCTTTACAGTAATTCTGTGAAGTAAATGCTATTATTTATCATCCTCATTTTACAGATGAGGAAATTAAGGCAGACAGAATTTAAGTGACTTGCCCAGGAGTAACATAGCTAAGCATGTGTCTGAGTCTGGATTTGAACTCAGGTCTTCTTGAATCCAGGTTCAGAGCTTTATCTACTGTGCTACCTGGTGCCTCTAGGTAGGAGAGAAGGTTCCAAATACTCAACAATTTCATTGAACAGGGGGTATTTGTTACCCTAATTTCAGCACATTTCCCACCAGCTTTTTGATATTGAAAACACGTTCAAATTAAGGCAACAGGAGATGTTATCCTTATCTATAAGATACTTGGTCAACAATACTGACTTAACTTCATAGAGTTGCTGTGAGAAATGCTTGCTAAATATTGATGTTTAGCACTGTAAGTGCTAAGCAAAAGACAGATGCAGCAAGAATCTATTACCTTACATCTAGGAGACATACTCTTGGGTCCGTGGAGGATTACTGTTTCTCTTCAGGCTGAGCCTGAAATTCCTAATGAATATAGACATATTTGTGAATGCTCTGAGTTTTAGGCAGTTCAGGGAACTTCCATTGTGGAGACACTTTCCACCAATGAAGATCATCTCCACCCCATTCCAGTTTCACAAGAAAATGTACTTATCTTTTCTCCCCCTTTAAGCAAGGCTTTGCACAAGGAATGTCCTCTGTTAGAACATGTGTGCAAATTTTTGTTTTGGAAAATATGCTTACCACATTGGCCAGGTTGGTAGTCACCTGAATTGTGAACACTATAGGTGTAGAACAAACAGAATTTTGTATTTTTTCCCCAAAACGTATTCTCCCTCTGACTTGCCTGTTTCCATCAGTGACTTGACCATTTATCCAGTTGCCTAAATGTGAAATATTGGTGTTTGACTTTTCTATCTCTCATTTCTGTTTTTTTTTAAACTGAGATCTCAAGCTTTTGTTATAGAAGTTATAGACCCCTTTATCATCACCTGCTGTCTCCTTCTCTAAATTAGAATTAGTGTATACTCACTTGGGGAAAAAAATCCCTAGCCCAAGGATGAGCACAGATGGTTTGTCTAGGAGGGAAGGGGAAAGCAAAGGTGATGAGAAAGAGTAGCTATTGAGGTTCTAGTCTCTAGGAGTGAGTTCAAATACCATTGGAGCCAGTTCTTTAGGGGAGTATGGAGTAGTAGAAAGATTATTGAATTTTTGAGTCAGAGGAGCTGGGTTTAATCTTGATCCTTCTATTGATGAATCGTGAGACATTTATTTGGCAAGTGATTTCACTTCCCTGGGTTTCAGAGACCCCATTTGAGAAATGAAGTAGTGGAACCAGATGAGTGGTATTAAACTCAGATAGAAACGGGGGTCACTAAACCAGATATAAGGATGCCTGCAGGCCTCATATTGTAAAATCACATATCAACATTATATATGTTCAACTGTATTTTTATTTATTTTGTTTACTATGTGCATGTGGGTCATGTGACTTTGGGAATGGGTGGTATTGCAGTGGAGTCCAGAGGACCTGAGTTCAAATCTGGCCTCTTCCTACCCGTGTGACACTGGGCAAGTCACTTAATCCCATTTGCCTCAGTTTCCTCATCTGTAAAATGAGCTGGAGAAGGAAATGGTGAACCATTCCAGTATCTTTGCCAAGAAAACCCCAAATGGGATCACAGAGAGTCAGACATGACTGAAACGACTGAACAACAACAACAAAAAATGATCTGAGAGTTGATCTCTTCCACTCTATCTTCAAAGGGATGGCTTTTCCTTTGTTTGGGGGTCTGAGAGGAAGACAAGACCTCATCACCACCAGCTGCCTAGCTGGGGGGAGGGGCAGGCAAGTTCTAGGACCATGGAAACTAGTCAGTCTCTCCTCCAGGCTCCCTCCCCTAAGGGAACTGGGCTAGAATTGTATCTGGGCTCTTCAGCCTGGGGGGAATTAAGATCTCATCTCAAACCAGGAGAAAGAAAATTATCTGATTCAGAGAAGGTCTACTCTCAGCAGTCTCTAGAACTGGAAGTTCTTAAAGTCAAGGAATATTGACAGGGGCTGGTTCTCATACACATGCAAGGCTCCAAGGCTTCTACTTTGCCATTCAGAAGTCTCTCACTGAACTGCTTCCCCAGCAGTGTTCTGCAAACTAGTTAGGTAAGTCCCTTACCCAGAACTGAAGCATCAGTTTCTGCATTCTCTCAGCCAATCAGGAATTTTATCTTCTCCTTGTATACAGCACTATGAAGAACAACATGTTTTTAGGACACCATTCATGGGGTGTTACACCATAATTCCAGAGTCAAGCATAGATTGTGGGCTGGGTGTGTCTTGGCACACCTAGCCCCACCTGACCCAAGCCAGTGTACCTCTTTGTATAATCTTAATCTCCAACACCCAGGATAAAGATTCTGATCTCAGTTGTTTTTTTTTTTTTTCAGTTAATTTGCTGTGTAATTCAATTGTTTCCCCTCTGGCTCTCAATTTCTCTATCTTTGCAAAGATAAATTAAATCTTGTGGGCCTTGTCTCTTTTCAGTATTTAAAAAAAAGTTCCCTCATTCTCTTTCTCTCCCAATTCCCTTTCTAGGGGTAGCTCTGAAGGGAGGAGCAGAGGAGCAGAGGAGCATGGGACCGAAATAGTAGGTGGCCATGAGGCTGGAAGACCATGAGAAGTTGGAAGAGTGTGGTGTCTGAGATGCTAGGAGGACATAGGTTTGGTGAGAATGAAGCTGGGTGGGAGGAGATGTGGGATTGAAAGAGAATTGGGGGATGTAGCAAACCACCTGGTTGATTTATTTATTTTTTAATTATGAAATAATTTTTATTTCAAAGTTTGTTCATACCAGAAAAACAAATATTCAAATTAAAGTTGATTTTTTTATTTGACATTTGAGTGAGCAAAAAAGCTTGATTACGAAGTGAGACAGTATTATCAACCTGCCTCAGTTATGCCCCTAGTTACGTCGTGAAAGATATAACGGAGGTCTTGTACTCTTTGCACACACACATAGGATAGGCCTTTTCTGATTCAGTTTGGTCCTCACTTTTCATCTTAAAAGTAGACTAATTGGGGCAGCTAGGTGGCGCAGTGGACAGAGCACCGGCCCTGAAGTCAGGAGGACCTGAATTCAAATTTGGCCTCAGACCAAACACTTGACACTTAATAGCTGTGTGACCCTGAGCAAGTCACTTAACCCTAATTGCCTTAAAAAAAAAAAAGTAGACTAATAAATTTTATGCCTAAGAAATATCTGGCAACAGAGCAACATGTTCCTATGTTAATTATTTTTAAAAATTGTTTGAGTAATCCTAATTAAGAATCAAGATGCTAATATTCATTAATGAAATCAATGAACAGCCATTAAATGCCTACTATGTGCCAGGCATCCTATAATTTCTTTTTTCTTGAGATTAGTTTTTCCAGTTTACTTGCAGGGACATGGTTTTTGCTAGGTGGAATTACAGTATTTTGATAAAAATTCTAGTCAGTGCTTAAAGTTCTGGTTGATTTATTGATAGACACATAAAGGAGGGCAAGGTCAAACAAATTGGGAGGACACTGTACCTCCAAAATTCCTCTCATTGGTTACCTTCTATGTTTCTGACGTAGAACTGGTATCACCCAAGTTAGGTCATACTGATGGGGGTGGGATCTGGGCCCCTTCCCACATGGCCAAATCTCTGGTGGTACCCTGAGGCTATAATCCCATCAACTGTCCTTTCATTGTGGACCTCCCTATGGCCCCAGGCCATTTCTCCATTCTCCCTTGGCCATGTGGTCCAGGTCCCTGGAATTCTATTGCCTCATAGACTACTTGACCACTCCTAGATCCCTCCCATAGGCTTTCTGTATATAAGGTCCATCTTGTCTCCATTAAGATGCTGAGATTCTTAAAATCTAGCCACCACTCAGATTCTTATCTGATCTAACCACTGCTTACCCAGGTTTCAGACTCCATAAGAGTCTTGCCCAATATGATGGATGTAGTAATAAACCTTGTCTTTGGCTGAAAGAAGGCTTGGGTCGAATTCTTTTGGGCAGAATCTGTTATGTTGTGATTTTGGGGTCCCAGCACCCCTGAACCCCTAAACCACATCAATACTATGAGAAATGATGAGCAGAATGTTCTCAGAAAAGCCTGGAAAGACTTACCTGGGCTGATGAAAAAGGAAATATACTGTGTACAAAGTAACAGCAATGTTGTAAGATGATCAGCTGTGAATGACTTAGCTATTCTCAGCAATACAATGACAACTCTGAAGGACTTATGAGAAATGCTATCCATTACCAAAGAACTGATGGTATCTGAATACAGATTGAAGCATACTTTTTTTCACTTTATTTTTCTAGAGGATTATTTTTGTTTGTTTATGTTTTCTTTCATTAACATGACTATTATGAAAATGTTTTGCGTGATCACACATGTATAACCTATATCAGATTGCTTTCCTTCTTAATAAGGGAGGTGGGGAGGGAGAAAGGGAGAGAATTTGGAGCTTAAAGTTCTAAAAATGAATGTTAAAATTGTTTTTACATGTAACTGGGGAAAAATAAAATACTAAATTTAAAAAGTAATAAAGCTGAGAAAAAAAATCCTTCCGCCTACCCCTTTAGATCTTGGATAGAATTATACACTTACACACAATTTTGTATTATCGTTAGTTCTGTACATGCCATTTCTGCCTTAGTTTAGGTAGCCTATTTGTGAACTTGGTGCAGGCTGGGACTGTTTTATTTGCATGGTGATGTTTGCATTTCCTCTCAGCCCTAAAACCATGTAGGGTCCCTCTCAGATGTTTCTGAGTAATCTGGCTTTTATTCATTGCTTTCAAAGGCAAATTTTAGTTGCAACTTCAAAGAATAAAAAGAAATCAACATACAAAAAATGTATTTTGAAATCGAAAGGGCCATGCAGGTTTATGAGCTTATCTGTTCAGGTCTGCTTTCCCTAGTTTTTCTTGTTGCCATAACTTTGATAACTCCAATTGTTGGTGTTATTCTTTTTCTGTTTCAGATAGCATATCAGGGACAAAGAGTATCAGCATAAGCAAATTAGTTTGACCTCTGTGCCTCAACTTCCTAATCTATGGATTTATCTCCATTCATTACTTTTAAATACCAGTTATTAAATGCTTTCATAATCTGTACCAGAGTAGTAATAATTTAACTAATCTTCATTTCATGACAAAATCTAGTATCTGATGGGACTCCTTAGCACTCAGAAAAAGCCAAGAAGAGAATTAAATATTACATTCTCAAGATGTATTAAGCAAAAATACTTGTTTCACCTAGACAACTCAATTAGTCCAGTCGTTTGTGTGAGAATACCAAACCTATTTTTCCATTTAGTAATAATAATAATAGTTTATATTTATATGGAAATATATTTACATATCATATATTGAGAGGATTAAGATTAGTTCCGTATCATTTTCTAATTGCTCCTACTTACAAGTAATTGATTTTGTCCTGTAACTGCTTAAGCCATGGTTCGTTGTCTCTGCACTTCATTTGGAGTTCAGCTGGCTTGTAATGAGTAAATTTTAGAAATCCAGCTCTCCTGCTAATCACTGATCTATTCTTACCTCAAGGAATTTAACTGACCTTGAGAATGTGTGGGAACACAAAGGAGTTTGGGCCTGATATCTTTATGTGCAACCAACCTATCCTTCAAGGATGTCTGGTTTGCTGTACAAATGTCTGGCCTGCTATCTCGAACCTGGACTCAGATAATAAGCTCTTGCTAGTCTCATGAGAAAAGAAGGGGGGCATTGCTAGTCCCCATTACCACACTTCTAACCAGTCATATTCCCTGAAGCTCAGCTCTGTAACCAACCAGTGCCCTCAATCCCATGATCTCATTTGCCTTGTTCTGTTCTTTGTTCTCTACCCCCCAAAACCTATAAAAGGGGAACTATTCTCTTGTTCAAGGTCTGTGGCGTAAATGGAGGCAAGATGTTGACCTGTTTATTGACAGGCAGCATATCCCTGCTAATGTTACCTTGCTTGGAGATGTGCCTCAGTTTACTCTTTTGTTACACTTAAATAGTGACTATACACATATGTATGATCTTTAAGGTTTGCAAAAGATTTTACATACATCTCATTCAGTCCATTGAACTATTAACCATCTGTACTATGAGATAGATACTATTGTTATCATTTCCAATTTACAAATGGAGAAATTAAAATTTAAAGAGTTTAAGTAAATTGCCTAGCTTACATAGTTAATAAGTATTGATGGCAGATTTTGAACTTCCTGACTGAATTCACTATGCCATGTTGTCCTTTTTAATTTGGTACTATAGCTTATTAAGTTGCTTCAAAACACAGTGCACAAGAGCTTGACAGATGTTTCTTGAAAGAATGAATAAACGAAATGGTAAACTATCCCAGAAGTCCTTCCCGTAGGGGTTTCAACCTCTTTTGCATCAACTACACAGTTGAGACAATAAAGGAAGAACTGGATCAGAACATAGTGAAATTGCAAGCAATTTAAATAAACAATACTCAATAATAATAACAATTATAACAATTAACATTTATATAGTGCTTTAAGGTTTGCCAATCACTTTATATATTTGTTGGTAAAGACAGTATCAATCTTTAGTGCTGCTTAATGGCATACAAGAATTTATTTGAATGCTTGGAATGTCACTCACTGCAATCAAATTTACTTCTTTCTTCCTTCATTCCTTCACTTCCTTCTTCCACATGAATGAGGCTGAATGATGGTGAGACTAGCCTTGTGATAATACCCTGATGAGAAAAACTTCTAGGCTGGAGGATATGAGCTAGTTAACAGATGGGAATTTAGCGTTGCACCCCATGCCCTCTCCCCATTAAGAACTGTTACAGAGGTTGCAGAGCAAACCAAAGAAGTAGAGGGCCAGCTTCCCCCCACCCCACCTTTTTTTTGAGGAGGTTACAACATAATTCAGAAGATGGTCATGCATGAAAACTAGAGAAGAGTCCAGGGCCCAGGGCAGGATATATCTTGGTGTCCTCTCAGGACTAGATTGTTAAGGTACAGACTGCAGCTATTATGGGCATCTAGAGAAGGGAAAGATTGTTGTAGGCTGGGCCAGTCAGGAAAACTTCACAGAGGAAATAGAATTTGACTTCTTATCTCTACTCTCGGTACAGCAATTAAACCGTTGGGGCAACATAGTTCTAAAGACTGACCTGAAATCATCTTGCTTCTTCAGATCACAACCAAAAACTTACTTCCTCCACAAAGCCTAACTAGAAAAACTCTACTAGTGTTATTCATGGAAGCACTTATGTGTGGAACCTGAGTTTCTGGCCTGGTGCATTTGCCTAAGATTCTCCTCATTGGTCGAAAGAAGAATTACTCGAAGCTGAATGCCTGCAAAAAAGGTGGAGGTGGCACCAGAGTTTGGGAGAAGAGAGATTTTCTTCTTGTTTCCTTTCCAAGAGAGGGCAAATGTGCAAAGAACTTTAAGGAGCAGGTGCTTCATTATGTTCTAATTATTTCTCTCCTTTGGGGCATTTCCCCTTGGCTGAGATCAGAGTCAGTTTGTCTGTCTCTCTCTGTCTCTGTCTTTCATTGTCTCTATCTCTGTCTCTGTTTCTCTTTCTCTGTCTGTCTCTCTGTCTGTCTCCCTGCCTATCTCTGTCTCTCTTTCTCTCTCCTGAGCCAAGTTATGTTGACCTTAGTGAGAGAGCTCATTCACTCTTTTTTATTGTTTACTGTATTCTGATCTGTATAACTCTAATTTTGTTTGCTATCTACTTGGATAAATGGGTATATTCACTGTTTACTATTTGTGATAGTCTTTTGTGTAAATGAAATTTGGTGGAAAGCTGCTAAATCTTCAGATACCTCTTTCTCTTTAGGGCATAGTAACTTCAAAAACAGCTTGAACCTAAAAATAAATTAATTTCTCCTAGCCTACCAATACTTAAGGAGGCAGAGAAACCTGGTGGTCCCTTCTCCTACTCCCCTCTAGGCAGGAATCAAAGATTTTTTTAGAGGGTGAGACTTCTGAGATATCCATTTAAGCCTCTCTGTGGGCCACATTTAAATAATTCCATGGGGACATAGACAAACTACAAAGGCAGTACAAACACCCTATTCCTACATTTGTTTATGTTAAGTTAGTTTGTATTTGTTTGCAACCTCTTTCTTGTGTGGCAATTATGGTATAGAGGAAACAGCAACTAAATCTGTAGTTAGAGAACTTGGGGTTCAAATCCCACCCCTATTTATTATGTGCTATGTGATTTGGGGCAAGATGCTATCTCTCTGATCCTGTTCATTCTTAAAAATGGGATGATATTAAATTGGATTACCTACTTTAGCAGTGTAAAAGAATTTTCTGCATCAGGGAAGATACCCACAGGAAGGGGAAGTAGCTCAATTTCTGGCCTAATTTGTTAGAGAACATGGACTTAAGGAGGCAATACAGAACTGTGGTGAAATGTAAAATGCCAAATCAGCAGCACTGCAAACTGCTTCATGTTTAGGTAGTTTTAATTGTCCAGCAGTTAACCTTCCCAGCCCTAGTTAGTACTACTACTTGTTGAGTTTGCTTCTGTCAAATGCCTGCTTGTGAATGTTCAGCGGTTAGCATTTCTCTTGTGTGAAGGAAATAAAAACCTGTCCCATTGTTGTTTGTTGTTTAGTTGTGTGTCACTGTGACGCCATTTGGGGTTTTCTTTGGTAAAGATACTGGAGTAGTTTGCCATTTCCTTCTGCAGCTCACTTTACAGATGAGGAAACTGAGACAAACAAGGTTAAGTGACTTGTCCAGGGTTACCAAGCTAATAAGTGTCTGAGGCCAGATTTGACCTAGGTCTTCTTGACTCCAAGCCAGAGCTCTATCCACTGCACTACATGTCCCATACTTGACTACTGTTGTACACGGTATGCCTTCTACTTCTTGTCTTTTTTGGAGACCCTAGACATGAGTCCACATCTAAACTCTAAGCAATTTTGCCCCATAGAGATGGGATGGGGACATGAAAAACCAAAGAGTATGACAAAAGGGACCCTACTTCACCTCCTATTTTGGGTCAGGCTTCTCCAGGACTAAGCCCCTTGGACTGAACTCATAAGTCCTGAACTGAGGAGCCCCCTACTGGAGGAGGGAATGGGTTAGCCCCCACCTTTCCTCCACTGGGCAGTGGTTTTGAAATTTAGAGAAGGTCAAGTGTTCTGTAAATGGGAGCTAGTATGTGTTATGGTTTTTCACATGTGGGGCTGTACTCCTCCAGTTGAGATGTTAACTCCCAGAGGGCAAAGTCTGTGGAGATTATTTACTTTACATCCTCCTTTTTTGTATGGCCAAGTGGGACTTACTGAGAGTACAATGCATCTAGTGAATGGTCAGTAAATAATGTTCTCCTACTGGACTGCTGATTGTGGCATGAAGGTGCTGGTGGGATTGAAAACTGCCTTCCCTGTTCCACGGCCAGCATGACATACATTCTTCTGGCCAGTGGAAAGGATTTTGACCATCCAGATTATCTGACTGTCTCAGAACAGAAATGGATCTAGGACTAGTGGCAAATGACTTCAGAAGCTAAATATGTGGTACAGGTACTAAAAAGAAAAAATTGTGTGCATAGTAGCCATGATTGTATTATGCCTGTCTCTCCTCTCTAGCATGTGGCTCAGGTGTGAACATACCCACATGGTGGGAACCTGGTATAGAGAACTTCATATATCATATCTATATCATAGGTATAGATCTGACTTCAGAAGCTACGGAAGTCCAACCCCCTCATTTTGCAGATGAAGAAACTGAAGCCCACAGAGATTAAAGGACTTGCCCAAGGTCACATAGGTAATAAGCATAAATCACCCACATATGATAACAAAATGATAATGATAGCTAGTATTTTTGTTGCTCAGTTGTGTCTGACTCTTTGTGACCCCATTTGGGATTTTCTTGGCAAAGATATTGGAGTAATTTGCCATTTCCTTTTCTAGCTCATTTTTCACATGAGGAAACTGAAGCAGACAGAGTTAAGTGGCATGCCCAAGGTCACACAGCTGGTATGTGTCTGAGGCCTGATTTGAACTCAGGTCTTCCTGATTCCAGGCCCAGGAATCTATCCACTTTGACACCTTGCTGCCCTAGTTTTACAGATGAGGAAACTCTGAAAAGTTAAGTGACTTGCTTGTCGTCACTCAGCTAGTAAAAGCCTGAAACAGGATATCTCTTAACTCCAAGTCCAGTATTTGGGCTCATCCACACTAACATGTTTTTACCATGTCATACACATTATATTATATGGGGACCTGTGTTATGAGTAGTATCTTCAAGACTTAAGGACACTGATCGATGCAAGGACCAACCGTGATTCCAGAGGAACAATGGTGATGCTTGCTGCCCGCCTCCTCTGACAGAGGACGAACTCCGTGCAAAATGAGGTGCTCATTTTTGGACATGGCCAATATAGGAATTTGTTTTGCTTGACTATGCATATTTGTTAAAAGGCTTTCACTTTTTTTTTCCAAGGTAGAAGGAAGAGAAAATACTTGGTTCATTGAAAAAAAATTTTAAACATTTTAAATTGTTACTTAAAAGCCAAATTTTTGAAAACTGGGAAATAATTTTACTTTTTTTTTTTTTACTCTGTACTACACTTACATAGCCTTTTCTGCTTAGCATTCATATGACATCCTTAGCAGACATTCTTAATTGCCTTATAGGATACAGGAAAGATATGTATCAGTACAGATAGTTCTCACTTTAGGTAAGCAGACCACTCCGCAGCAATTTTTTATATAATGCTAATTTACCTAGGGATGTGGGGTAGGGGACTGGCACGCTATTCAAGGACATGTGGGGACTGGAGACAGAGAAATGAGGGCAGGAGGAGGAATACACAGGCAGGAGCCAACTCTTTGGGGGCTGGACATAGACACAGGCAGGAGAAGATGGGCAACCCAGGGTGGGGGTGCCAGGGACACACATGAGGTACCCAAGCACAGATGGAGGAGAGATCTCCTCTCTTGGTACCAAAGATCTGAAGCCAAGCCACCAGTCCAGCAGTGGCAATGGTAGTGGTCTCTCTGAGTGTTTATTCTTCTGCTTTTATTTGGAGGATTTTTTTCTAGGGTCTTTTTCTTTTGGGGGAGAGGGGAGCTAATCACAGTACTGTACAGTAAAGTTAACATTGGTGGTTTTTTGGAATGCAGATTTCTTTCAGAATTGTTTATGTAAAGTCGAATTCGTGTAATGAGAATTTACATAAAACAAGAATTATCTGTATGGGGAAATCCTATAATCAACCCTAGTCTCAAATCACTAACTGACAGATGATCAGATTTAGCTCAGTGTTCTTACCATTGTGAGGCAGGCTGTGGCCCCTTGTGAGATACCTGAGGGAAGAAAAATAATTAACAAGCATTTATTAAACACCTACTATATGCTAGGCAAAAGAACTTGCCTAAGATCACATCGTGTCTGTGGGAGATTTGGGCACAAACTCATGAACTTCTTATTTCCAGTCCAATTCCTGTCGCTTCTTTAAAACTGTGTGTTATGATTAATGCTTAGGATTGCATGGCCAGCAGCATCCTAATGCAGGAACTTATTCCACTGTGTCTTAAATTGATTGTGAGAAGAAAACAGGTAGTTAGTTGACAGAGTAGATGTGAGCCAGCTTGCCATTGTGAAGTTTGGAGATTGTTGTTTTGGAGACAGATATTTTCTCCTTTTATCCTCATAACAAACTTGGGAGGTAGGTACTATTATTCCCCCCTTTTTTACATTTGAGGAAACTGATATAAATAGAGGTTAAGTGACTTGCCCAGGATCACATAGCTAATGAGTATCTGAGATGGGATTTAAACTCAGATCTTCTTAATTCCAGGCCCAATTCTCTGTTCACTTCACCTCCTAGCTTCCTAGAAGGATGATAGATTATAATAATCACTATCCACTCATAAAATAGAGGGAGTGGAGGGTCAAATCAGTTTAAAGAAAGTTTGACAAAGTTTCCAGTTAAGTAAAGTTATTCTGAGAGCACTTAAGGATGAAAATGAAAGGAGCCCAACAGAAGAAAAATAGAAAAGATATTCAAAGATTTTTAGTAATGAGCTGTTTTAACCACCAAGGACAGTAGTCATCACACTTGAACTCAGATATATCAGCCCTAGATGGGCTTATAGAGTGGTAAAAATGTCACTAAAAAGAACAAAGATGGAGAAAGCAGCTAGATGGGGCAGCTAGGTGGCACAGTAGATACAGCTCTGGGCTTGGAGTCAGAAATATTCATCTTATGAGTTCAGTTGTGACCTCAGACACTTACTAGCTGCGTGACCTTGGGCAAGTCACTTAATCCTGCTTGCCTCAGTTTTCATATATGCAAAATGAGCTGGAGAAGGAAATGGCAAACTGTTTCAGTATCTTTGCCAAGAAAACCCAGAATGAGGTCACAAAGAGTCAGACACAACTGAAACAACTGAGCCACAACCATAGAGGAACCTGTGCTGACATCTCTACAAAATCTTCATGAGAATCATCAACATATGCATTGAGGACATCTTTAATGAGAATATTAGTAGGGAACAGGTAGACTTTTCCAAGTGATATTCTGCAGTGAGCCACATCTTTACCATCTCATAGTTCACTGAAATTACGATAGATCCTATTATGCTTCTTTGTTGATTCTGAAAGAGCATTTGACTGGGTAGAACAGAATGCTCCCTGAAAGGCTTTCTTTTTAACACAGTGTCTACCATACATACAGCAAAATTATTAAAGATTCCTTGAAAGCTGTAACTGCAGAAATAACTTTGTTCAATAACTCTGTGATCATAAACATCAGGCAAAGCATTAAATAGCGAGATGTATAATTACCACCATGATGGAGGAGATTCAGCGCAGGGTCCAAGTTGAAAGGGATTCCCAGTGAAGGGTGAGATCCTTCAGATGCTCCTGTTTGTGAATGCCATTGTGCTGGTTGAATCAATCCATGAAATGCTGTTGAGTCTCCTGAAAGAATCCATAACCACTCAAGAGTTCAGCTTGACCATTCACATTAAGAAAGATCAAGCTGATGAAGAATATCTATTTACTAGGTTATGCCATGCAATTGGATAAACAGCCTATAAACCTTGTCTATCAGTATGAATATCTGGAACCCATAATATAAGAATTTGGCTTAACTATCCACAGCTGAAAGACCAAGCAAATGAAGAATGTTTATTTACCAGAATATGACAGGCAGTTGGATGAACAACCATGCACACACATATGTATGTACACAGATACATATGCACACACGTGTGTGGAACAGATAGTACAAATTGACATTGGGTTGGACCCATGATTAAATAGGAGGAGAGTTGTCTGGACTGCTTTCATGAAATTGCATAATTCCTTTAATGACCCTGATAATCTCCTGGAATAGAATGTAATGGAATAAGCATTTATTAAATGCCTACTACTGTTAGGTACCGTGCTAAGCACTTTAGGAATATTATCTCATTTGATCCTGAAAACAAAGACTCTTCAAAATGTCAATATACTACTGGTGTTGTATGATTGCTAAATATGGCCCCACAGTCCCTGAAGAATTGAAAATGAATAAATACCACACAAAGGACATTGGAGAAAGGGCTCATGGTGGGAGTGAGCAAGT